CTGAAATCAATTATATATATATATATATATATATATATATATATATATATATATATATATATATTTTTTTTTTTTTAATGCTCATTGTCACTAATTGTCAGAGAGATGCAACTTAAAATGGCATGAGGTATCACGTCATACATGCCAGACTGGCTACCATAAATCAACCAAACAACAAGGATGTGGGGAAAAGGGAATCTAATACACTGCTGGTGGCAATGCAGACTGGTATAGCCACTGTGGAAAACAGTATGGAAATTCCCCCCAAAATTAAATATGGAACTGCCATTTGACCCAATGATCCCACTTCTGGGAATATAGCCTAAGAATCCTGAGATACCAGTCAGAAAGAAAATACGCACCCCTATGTTCATAGCAGCATTATTTACAACTCGTGGCTCAGTGCATGAAATTTGTGTACTTGGAATGTGGGGGAGAGTCCCCCAGCCTGGCCTGTGCACTGTCTCGATGGATTGCCCCAAAGAGGTAGGCCAGAGCCGGGGGTCCCGCCTCTGTGCCATGCATGCAGTGTCAAGCCCCGTCCACCCTGGTTATGGATTGTGACGATGTGAGGCGTAATGACCACGTAGGCTATTATTAGTATAGATTATTAGTATAGATAGCTAAGATCTAGAAACAGTCCAAGTGTCCATCAGTAGATGAGTGGATAAAAAAAGCTGTGGTACACTTACACAATGGAATACTAGTTGGCTGGGGGGGAAAATAAGGACCTCTTTACTCTTAGAGACTTAGAGACAGCATAAATGGACCTGAAGATTATTATATTAGGCTAAATAAGCCAGTCAGAGAAAGACAAATATCACATGATCTCATATGTGGAATCTAATGAACAAAATAAACTGATGAATAAAATAGCTCCAGAGACCTGGATGCATGGAGCAGACGGACAGATCTCAGAGGGAAGGAGGTAGGGGGAAGAAATTAACCAAAGAATTTATATGCATGGATACAGTCAATATGTGGTGAAGGCCTTGGGTTGGGCGGGAGCCACATGGAGGGGGGCAAAAGGGAGGAAGTGGGGAACATCTGTAATATTGTCAACAATAAAAAAAATATTCTTACTTAAAAAAATACAATCACTTAGAAAGTGCCTGTGGACTCACAGGATAAAGACTCATATAAGAATCAGCGGGGATGTTAATTTCTCAACGCATTTCCATTGGCTCATGTCTCCTCTGTGTACATAGGTGGCAGACACTAGTTCTGGATAAAAGAAAATAAAAAGATGAAAGACGAAAGCAGTAGAGCCTGTGCCAGGTTCCATGCTGCTTATCTTCCTCGCACATGACCTCGTGTGCTTCAGTACCTGTGCAGTCTACTTCAGGCAGCAAGGAGAATGAAGAATAATGGCTACAGTTAATGATGCTCAGAAACACAGGGATAGTGTAATTGGTTCTGCTGAGCCTTCTAGACCCGCTCAGTGGGTTGCTTTGCACATCCCCATTGCAGAAATTGAGTTACTAAATAGGACCAATACAGCAACTGCTCCTAACAACACCCTCGGATGCAGGCTGCAGCCATGCTCCAGTGCTCCATTCGGAAACTCCAGTACCAGTAGATTGAAAGCAGACATTTTTGGGTGATTAGTTCTGTTTTTAGTCCACATACAACTTGGAAAGGAAAAGTAACTCCATTTTATTTTAGAATGTCTAGGGCCAGAATCTATCTTTCAACACATTTACGATTAGCCAGGTAATATTAGTATTTTAAAAAAATCTTAAACTTGCCGAAACCAGTTTGGCTCAATGGATAGAGCGTCGGCTTGGGGACTGAAAGGTCCCAGGTTTGATTCCGGTAAAGGGCATGTACCTTGGTTGCAGGCATATCCCCAGTAGGGGGTGTGCAAGAGGCAGCTGATCGATGACTCTCTCTCATCGATGTTTCTAACTCTATCTCCTTTCCTCTCTATACAAAATCAATAAAAATATATTTTAAAAAAATCTTAAACTTTTTTTAGGTCTCAGGATTCTCCCAGTTACAAAATGCTCTTCTTTCTGTGTAACTGATTACTAGAAATTAGATTTCAAATATTGGGGTGTGTGTTGAGAATGGACTTGCTTGACGGAATGACTGCTTCACAGGAACCCTTTTGACTCTGGAAAATGAATTAGATTAAATTTCCTTGACTTTGGTACATTGTTATAACAAGCAAAAGCATTCCAGCCTGAAAAAAAAATCTGGCAGACAGTTTATCTTTCTTTAAGACTGAAATGTGAGATTGCGTGAGTCTTATTTGTTTGCTGGAACAAAAAAGTGGTACCTTCAGCAGAGAGAGTGCTGGTGGGATGCCAGACTGAGAATAAGAGAAAGAGAGATAGAAACCCTTTCTCTGAGGAGGAATCGTACACTTCTGCAGACCTTCGCCTGGCCCTTCTTGCCTTTCTTAGCTGAATGTCTTATGTCTTAAGGTGTTGGACATAAGACAGCGCTTATAATCCCAGGAAGAGGCCTCTTTAGTGTGTGTGTGTGTGTGTGTGTGTGTGTTTTAATCAGGACCCAACATTTTTTAGAAGGTTCCAATTGTTTTAGAATTTACTGATCCCTTGCATCATCCTGGGCTTTAGACTCCACATCAGGCAAGTAGATAACATTTGTGAGTGTGGCACTATTTTTGAACCATTGCTTATAATTATGCCTGAAGTTAGGGAAAGCATTCAGAGCAGTAGTTTCAGCACTGCTACTCTTAGAAATGCCCCATGATATTTTTTATTTTAAAACAATTTTACTGATTTTTTAAAGAGGGAGGAGAGAAAGAGAGAGAAATATCAATGTGTGAGAGAAACATCCATCCATTGCCTTCCATAAGGGGGGTCGAACCTGCAACCTGGGGATGTGCCCTCACTGGGAATGGAACCTACTTTTTAGTGGACCAACCAAGCGAGCCCTGCTGGCCAGGGCCCCGTGATGTTTTTCATCAGTCAGCAAGTATTTTTGTCAAGTTTCAATTGTGCTCTAGCTTTGGTTAGATGCTAGAGATGAGAGGACAATATGATTTACCGTCAGAAAAACTTTTTTAAAAATATATTTTTATTGGTTTCTGAGCCAGTTGGCCAGGGCGACACCGCAGCTGTTTCAGGGATGCTAAGTCCTGGAATCAGAAAGACAGGGTGGTAGGAAGCTGAGTGGAAACAGTTGCTGAGTGAGGCATCCTTTTTGGGGTGGGATGGAATGGAGAACCACCTAGAGTGACCCAATCCCATTCCATCGCCCTTTTCCAACTCTAAGACCAAACTTTCCAATGATGAAAATACCTGTGTCCAGGCGCAGAAATGACAGGTAGAGAGCTCCTTTGCTCACAAACCTTTGTAGATGTAAGTATGTTGATCCAGCAGAGCAAGCACACGCTGCCCCGGGAGGTGGTGGAGCAGCTGCTGGAATCATGACCTCAGACTTGGCAACAAATGGGCTAAGGGCCTTCTCAGAGGAGCTTCTGGACGTTCATTGCGGAAGCCATGGCATAGTCACATGCACTAGCTTAGCATCCTTGTCCCCACATGTGAATCCTCCTGCAAACCCCGGGGAGGTGGGAGAAGATCGAAAGAAAGCCATGTTTGGATTTGAGCTGCACACAGGGCAGGGAGAGCACAATAAAAAAGGATTCCCAATGGGAGAAGTGGACAGCACAGGAAACATGGGAAGGAAAGGGGGATACGATCCCTCTAACAAGGAAGACAACTTAACTTTGCTTTTTGAGGATTTTAAAAATATTTTATTGATTATTTTACAGAGAGGAAGGGAGAAGGATAGAGAGAAACATCGATGAGAGAGAAACATTGATTAGCTGCCTCTTGCACATCCCATACTGGGGATGTGCCTGCAACCAAGGTACATGCCCTTGACCAGAATAGAACCTGGGACCTTTCAGTCCACAGGCTGACGCTTTATCCACTGAGCCAAACCGGTTTGGGCAAGAGGATTTATTTTTTTTAAGCAAAAAAGAAAATGGATGAATTCATAGTCTAGAAATAGCTCTTCCATTGGGTACAGCTGGATTCAGGGGTTCAGATAACCCTGTCTGCCTTTTGTCTTTCTCCATCTCCGCTTTGTTTTCCTCTTCCCTCTGTGAAGGTGTCTTTTCCACAAAGGCTGGCTGTTTTTCTCTGAAGGCAAAAATGGCCACCCACAGCTCCGGAGTTACATTAGCCTTGTCATTACTTTTATAAAGGGCTAGTGAGACCCAATTAGGACAGGCTACTCTTAAATCCAAACTAAATAAAGTGCTTTTGATGAAATGAAGCATGGGTCCTTTGGACTGCTCCATCTTTTATATAAATACACATGTTTTGCACATGTGTGGCTTTTGCACCCTTACAAATCCCTGAACATTGCTTCCCCTACTCACAGAAGCTACTGTGGGTTGTCATATTTTTAATGCGTGGCATTCCTCTTTGTGGGTTCTTATTTCAGGGGAAACATTTGGCTCACCTGTAGCTGTAAGTGTCCCTTTCTAACATCATTTTTTTTATTTCCACGTGGGGTTCTATAATGTCTTTAGGGTTTGCCGCAGTCTGGAGTCCCCGTGGATAGTTGTGATGTTTTTGAAGGCACAGTCATCTGGAAATTCCAAAATTCAGAGTTTCTACCCCCATCAGTCACCTCTGTCTCTTTATAGGTTTTGAAGGTTACTGCATATGTGCGCATGCACACACACACACACACACACACACACACACACACACGTGTGCACACAGATATGCATGTCCTGTTTATTTGTTGTCATCAAAATGTGTAGTAATCTCTGGGATAGAGGGAAATAGTTTTGTTTTTAAATTAAAACTTTCTGATGCATATTGGCTAGAATCCTGAGTACTTCCCTGTATCCAAATGCTGGACTCTGTCTCTACTACTTCGGTCCAGAAAAATTGTCAGCGTAAGTGCAATGAATCAAGAGAACTTTATTAATTTTCTTCTGAAGCTGGACTTGATTACAGTGTAGGAACTGGTGCCGTCCAGTTTTTCATCTATTTCTCTTATTCTAGGCACTTGAAGAGGCCCAGAAAGCGATTCAGCAACTCTTCGGCAAAATCAAAGATATCAAAGACAAAGCAGAAAAATCAGAGCAAATGGTGAGTTTAGGTTTCTTCCTAATTTTTTTGCTCCAGAAGAGGAAGTTTGCATCTCATCCAGTTATCCTCGTTAATGGGCTTTTACTCCGATTTGTTGCCAGCCGTAGCACCCATGTCTCTAAACAAGCCCTCTGAGGACACTCTAGGTCAGTTCAGGAGGAGGAGCTAGCTATAGGGCCGCCCGCTGTTTGCAGCCCTGTGTTTAAATAGTTTTCTAGTCATTTTGGATTCCTTTCTCCAGCACTTGTTTATATCATGTATTTTACTATATAGTATATCACACATAGTACTAGGCTTGTGTTAGTTGCTCAATGAATGGAAGCCATTATTAAGATATACGATATGTCACTTAGTATCACATGAAAACGGTTCCTGGATCTGGGAGGTGGATGTAGCCTGCCCATGATACATGCTTATGGTTTTGATTAAGTCCTCCCTCTACACATCTGTCCTCCGGTGATGTACTCTGAGGCCCCGCTCCTGACCAAGAATCCAGGCTCAGCCACTCGTACTCTGTGGGAGGTACTGGAAATGCCAACTCCTGGGCTCAGATTCTGACTACATAATGTCATGTTTCTGAATTGCAGTTTTTTCAACTGTAAATAAGAATAACAACATCTAGCTCAAAGCGTTACAAGAATTGAATGTATGAAGAGCACCGAGCATAGTCTTAGACTTGTGTTAGTTGCTCAATGAATGGAAACCATTATTCCTATCATTTTCCCCCCTTAATCTTTTTGGTTACAAAAAACCTTGCATGTTTGTGATTGTGAAACTGAGCTGTGCAGGTCATAATCTTTATGAGTTCATGCAGGGTGATCCAACTAGAAAATCAGGTCATATGAACTTAACGCACTACCAGGTTTTTCACTTTTTTTAATTAAAAAAAAATTTTTTTAATCCTCACCTAAGGACATAGTGTTTTTAAAAAAATATATTTTATTGATTTTTTTTACAGAGAGGAAAGGAGAAGAGAGGGATAGAGAGCCAGAAACATCGATGAGAGAGAAACATCGACCAGCCACCCCCTGCACACCCCGCACACCCCGCACGGGGTACATGCCCTTGATTGGAATCGAACCCAGGACCCCTCACTCCTCAAACTGACGCTCTATCCACTGAGCCAAACCGGTTTCAGCCATAGTGTGTTTTTTTTAAGCTGACTTGAGAGAGGGAGAGAGGTCAGTTGGTGAAAAAGTTCATTTCATTCTCCCAAATGAGGATTTTATAGCCCTGGGTAAATTACCGTATTTTTCGGACCATAAGATGCACTTTTTTTCCCCCAGAAGTGGGGGGGGAAAGTCCCTGTGTCTTATGGTCCAAATATAGCCTACACATATACTTTAAAAAAAAAGTTTTTTTACTTGCCCGGCTCTGTGTGGTCTCTGTGTGCTTGCCCGGCTCTAAAATGGTTCTAAATGCTGCTGTTTACTTTACAGGGTTGATTACATGTGTTTATGACTGTGATGTTGGGTTTTAATGCACATAAAATATTTTAGGACACTATTTGTTTCAGAATCTTTTTTTCTTCATTTCCCTTCTCTAAAAACTGGTGCGTCTTATGGTCCAGAGCGTCTTATGGTCCAAAAAATACGGTAGGTTGAAGAAGTGCCAAATTAAATTTAAGTGGGCTGATTGAGAATGATTTTGATTATCTCTTGTGAAAAAGCCCATGTTTTCTCTAAGGGCTAACCTTAGAGACTTTTTTTTTTTTAACATTTTGTTTTTCAATTACAGTTTATAGTCAATGTTATTTTGTATTAGTTTTGGGTGTAACCTGAGATTTTTTTTTTTCTTGCTTCATTTGCAGTATTTTCTTGTGGAGTTACTTGCAGATGGGTTTATATCATTCTTACCTTCTTCCTTTTTCTCCCATGGTTTTCAATATTTAGGTTAAAGAAATCACCCGTGATATTAAGCAGTTAGATCATGCCAAACGCCACCTGACCACCTCAATCACAACGCTGAACCACCTGCACATGCTGGCAGGCGGTGTCGATTCCCTCGAGTAAGCAGTGTCAACTTTCTCTTTTGGGTCCACACGAAATGACTGTCACATATAGGAAAGGGTTTATTTACTTCTCAGCCAGTAAAGTCTCACCATCCTGCCCCACTTTCTGCAAATCTGGCTCAAATGTTTGGTCACCAGGTTTACTTTTTGCCCTCTGGTGTTCACAATCCATCAAACAACCTGACACTTTTTGCTGTTGTTGTTAATCCTCACCCGAGGAGATTTTTCCCATTGATTTTCAAAGAGAGCAGAAGGGAGGGAAGGGGAGAGAGAGAGAGAGAGAGAGAGAGAGAGAGAGAGAGAGAGAGAGAGAGAGAGAGAGAGAGAGAAACATCAATGTATGAGAAACACATGGATTAGTTGCCTCCTGAACTTGACCCAACTGGGTCCGGGGATTGAACCTGCAACTAGGTATGTGCCCTTAATCGGGACTCGAACCCGCAGCCCTTTGGTGTGTAGACTGATGCTCTAAACACTTGAGAAAACCAGCCAGGGCGCAGCCTGATACTTTGAAATGAGATGCAAATGAGTCTGAAGGGCCTGTGGAGAAATGACTTCAAGAATACAGGTTTCTGCCGGGACCGGTTTGGCTCAATGGTCGGCCTTCTGATTGAAAGGTCCCGGGTTCGATTCTGGTCAAGGGCATGTACCTTGGTTGCGGGCACATCCCCAGTAGGGGGTGTGCAAGAGGCAGCTGATCGATGATTCTCTCTCATCGATGTTTCTTACTCTCTATCCCTCTCTCTTCCTCTGTGAAAAATCAATAAAATATATTAAAAAAAAAAAAAAAAGAAGAAGAATACAGGTTTCCATGCGGTAGGTCTCTATCATTGAAGCTCACAAGGTGATTTGGGGCCATTGTCCCTTCCTACAATCTTAACTTTGCCAAGTTTAAGATGGGCTGAGTCACATTGTCATTGAATGTATCATGTAAAACATATCTTTGATTTATCATTCAACCCAGTTTTTCAAATAGAGTAGCTTCTTGTTTGGTTTATAGAGGAGCTAAAGGGAATGATGCATGAGGACATGAGAAATAGGATCAAAAGGAAGAACTGGTTATTTACCACAAAGAAGCCAGTTCTTTTCTGTGGTCTCTCTCAGGCTGAATTTCCCACCCCAGCCTCAGTGTAATCTCATGTGCAAACAGAGAAAGAGCATCTTCATGTAAATTTAGATGCAGTATCCAAAGTTGGGGGCGGGGGGCTGGCTCCTTCTTGATCTCTGTCAGACGTTGCATGAGTTTCAGTCCCTGGTACATTTCCTGCAAGGAGTGATCAGAGAGGTCAGAGGCCAGTGGAACTGGAAGAACAATTTCCTGTCCCTTCCCCCAGATGCTCAGTCTTGCACAACTATCTGACCAGGCAGCAGCATCACATCTTTTTTTTTTTTTTTAATTAAAATATATTTTATTGATTTTGTACAAAGAAGAAGGGAGAGAGAGAGAGAGTTAGAACCATCGGTGAGAGTGAGTCATCGATCATCTGCCTCTTGCACCCCCCCCCCCCCCCCCCCACTGGGGATGTGCCCGAAACCAAGGTACATGCCCTTGACCGGAATCAAACCCGGGACCCTTCAGTCCCCAAGCCGACGCTCTATCCATTGAGCCAAACCGGTTTCTGCAGCATCACATCTTAGCTTGAACTTGATCCTGTCTTTGTAAATGCCTCTTCAGGGAAGTCATAAAATACACTTTTAATTTAAAAGCCCAACCTCAATGAAAGACTTAGATCTAATGGTTTGTCCTTCCTTGCTATGTGTAACTTGATTTTATCAGCATCCTTTTTAATGCTTCATTAACCTCTGCAAAAGGGAAACAGAGTTGTGTAACATTGGCTTAAAACCTACAGATCTGAGTTAACATGTCAATGAACCTAAATGCCCTTTGTTGTATCCTGGGAAGATGTGTTTGGTTTGCCCCTAAACTGTAATCCTCAGATAATTACTTCCTTACCCATGTTCTCTGTCAAAAGCCTGCTATTCCCATAACCCAACTCAAATCCGTAATTTTCCCCTTCCCCACACAATGAGAACCCATTACTCACATGTTTTTTTGTTCCTCCTATAGCATCTACCTAGTATTTCTGTTTAGAACTCAGTTCATCCTACTTGGTTAGCTGTGTATAGGCCCTCTCCCTGACTAAATGTTGTTGCCTTGAGGATTGAAACATCCGCCTCTCCCCCACCCCTTACTCCCCCACCCCTCACCCCCCCCACACTGCATAGCACCATACATTTTTAGTGCTCAGTAAATGCTTATTAAATCGAGTTGACGTCTGTTTTATTTTTTGGATTTATATAATTTGTTTTTTTAATCTTTATTGTTAAAAAAATATACATATGTCCCAGTGTCCTCCCCCCACCCCCATCAACGCCCTCTAGCCCACTCTTGCCCCCTGTTCCAGTGATGTCTGTTTTAGAGCTCAGAGTATCGTTCCACATCTGTTTCTTGTGTCCTTAGTGGTTTTCTAGAGTTCTCAACTTCTTATTTCCTTTCAGAGCCATGACCAGGCGAAGGCAGTATGGAGAAGTTGCTAATCTTCTTCAGGGTGTGATGAACGTTCTAGAGCACTTCCACAAGTACATGGGAATTCCACAGATCCGGCAGCTTTCCGAAAGGTACTGTCATCAGAGAAAATGACCTTCCTGTTTAAGAAAAGGTGGTGCTGGGAAGTGCTGGAACAAGATGGCCATGCGCATAGCAGAGGCAGGGCTTGGCTGCCGCTCCACACAGTGAGACCTGGGGATCCCGCTGCTCCATGCTGCACAGGGGAGGCCCGTCCTGGTGTCTCTGCCACCTTGGGTGGAGGATGCAGGTCCCAGTGGAATAGGCGGGTCGCAGCAGGGTAGGGTAGTTGAGGGTGATCAGGCCAGCAGGGGAGGGCAGTTGGGGGTGATTAGGCCAGCAGGGGAGGGTAGTTGGGGGCGATCAGGCCAGCAGGGGAGGGCAGTTGGGGGCGATCAAGCCAGCAGGGGAGGGCAGTTGGGGGCGATCAGGCCAGCATGGGAGGGCAGTTGGGGGCAATCAGGCCAGGAGGGAAGGGCAGTTGGGGATGATCAGGCCAGCATGGGAGGGCAGTTGGGGGCAATCAGGCCAGGAGGGGAGGGCAGTTGGGAATGATCAGGCTGGAAGGGGAGTGGTTAAGGGGCAATCAAGCTGGCAGGCTGAAGCAGTTAGGAGCCAGCGGTCCTGGATTGTGAGAGGGATGTCTGACAGCTGGTTTAGGCCTACAGGGATCGATCTTAAACCAGCCGTCGGACATCCTCCGAGGGGTCCCAGATTGGAGAGGGTGCAGGCTGGGCTGAGGGACCACCCCCCCCCCCCCCCCCCCCCCCCCCCCACACACACACACAAACACAGAGATTTCGTCCACTGGGCCTGTAGTTCTATTGTAAGAAGGTACCTTAGATGGCATCTGATCTAACTTTGTGATGCAGACTTCCCACCCATCATACCCTGACCAGCTCCTGACCGTGTCTTCCAAAGCTCCCCGTGTCACATCGTTGCTGGCCTGCCGTTATTGCAGTGGCAGCTGCCAAGTTGTACATCTCAACAGCTCTCAGTTGTCTGTATTAGTGAGGGAAACTCTCCCAGTTGTCTATTTCCTTGTAACAAACCACACACGACTCTGAGTTTCTAGTTGACCACATCTTTTTTTGTATGGGTCTGGATTTTTATTAAAATATTTTTATTATTTCTTTGGCTCTGGAGCAGGAAGGGGAGATGGCAAAATGCACTCAGTGTGCCCTCTTGCAATGGAAATGCCAAAGAATTACAAAGGAATGTCAGAACAGAGCTTGGCAGAATACTAGGGAAGTCACCACCCTTCCCCTCGTCCTTCCTAACCCCTTCACACTTAGAGATGGCTGGTCGCCATGTCATACTGGGGATGGAAAGCAGCCAAGAGAGTGGACAAATAGGGCTTTATGAGCTGCGAGAAGGAAGGAAGTTTGAATGGAGAAGGCAGACTTGCTCTCCGTGGATGGGGGAGAAGGGAAGGAGGCAGTATCTCCTCCCTCTCTCCTCATGGTGATCCAGAGTTGATCTGTCTTTCCCATTCGTTTATTCTTTCCTTCATTTACCTAATAGATATTTACTGTGCACCTTCTATATCCTAGATCCTGTGCTGGAGTACCACAGGCACAAGAAAAGCAATAAACACTCTCTGCTCAAGGAGTTCATTTTTGTGTAGAGAAGAGAAACACTAATATAAAATTTCATCATAGCACAGATACAATAAAACTGGTATTTGCTTTACAAGGCATGGCAGGATCTTAGAGGAGGAATTGATAGAATGAACCTTCAGGGGCTGAGGGTAGGGGTTATAGAAGAATTAAATTTTAATCTGATTTTAAAAGAATGGGAAGAATCTTATCAAGATAAAAAGGAAGGTGGGAGAATAGATGAGAAAGAGCATCCTGTCACTTTGGGGGATGATAGAGGATGAAAGTCTGCATAGGTAGTCAATGTCAGAGTTCATATGCCTTGCTAGAGAACTTATTCTTTATTTGATGAGCAATGAAAGGTTTTGAGCGGGAGGGGCATGATCTCACTTGTATTTTATGGAAGTCTGGAAGTACATGAAACTGAGGGTTTGGTCTATGTTCTAGACTAGAGAAGATAAGGACCATACCAAAATAATGGCCATGAGGTCAAGGAGATGTGTTGAGGGGTTGGATACCAACTTGGTTGGTTGTTTGTGATGAGCATTGTTGACGGCAGAACTGAATTTTATTTATAAAACAGTAACTCAGAGACACACAAGCCAATGTGCTCTTTTAGTTCTCTTTGCTTTCTAACATTTTTTTTGAAAGGTAGTTTTATAAACTTGAATAACGTTGTGATCTCTGTTGTAATAACATTCCCCTTATAAAGAGAAAAGCTAACACTTCGTCAGTATATTTCAGTGCTGCAAACACTCATTATCATGTATGGCTGCTGCAAACTCAGGAGGATTTACTTTTCTTTTAGTGGAAAACCTCTATTTGCAGAAATTGTAGGTTAGTATAGAGCATGTACTATTATTAAGTAACGCTAAAAATAACACAAGAGAAAAAACCTTGTTTTCAGAGCTTGACTACAATTGTTTTTCAAGAGGTATTAAAAGTTTGAGGAAAGTCCAGACTTCTTATTTTTAGCATCATTTCTGGTGATTTTCCTCTCTGATGTTTACATAGCAATGGTAGAACCATCTGGAAATGATAGAAATAGCTATTTGTTTGGGGGGAGGGGAGAAGGCAAGTTATACCCTATGCATTGCTTCAGCTTCTCTAATTTATTGTAATAGCTTTCTGTCCATAAATTATAGAAATCATATAAAAGGTTATACTCTGGAATCTTTGCCTGTGCATTTAAAATGTAAAATTCATGGATCTTGATTTAAATATAGTTATTTTTTTCCAACTGCCCCTCTGGAAAATGCTTAAACACTAATATAACATTGAAGGAAAGATTTTTTTTAAAATATCATCTTCATATTACAAATCCTCCTGGCTTAAGAGTATCCATGAAAGCAAATGTTTCTAGTAATCAGTCAATATTTCCTAAGAAAGAATGGAAGAGTCTTGCATTCTCTTGAAACCCTTGAACTAAAAATATTTTTCAGGGCTATCTCTAATCTCTTATATGTGAGAGATACCTGGCAGATTGCGATCACATGATGTAGTGGTGAAAGAGACTAAAGCAGAGAATGAAAAGGCCTGCCTACCTGTGTGTATGACAAGTTCCTGCGGAAAGAACTTTAGTTTCAAAAGTGTAAGTTTCAAAAGTATAGGGGCTGTACTTGATGTTCTCAAAGCATCCAGCTGAGTTGCTCGAAGATTCTGGGTTGAGATTACAGAGCCTGTCTGTTCGGAAATGGAGCAGCTCAGGCTAATGTGGCTAACTAACCATTCTGTCCCGGACACACCAAGTATTTGGGAGGTCAGTTTATTGTGAACTTTTGTATTTTGTTTGGGACTGTCATTCACAAGGTAATGGAAGCATCAGGGTTACTTTAGCTCCAAATGTCTAAATAATTTTCCTAATTTGCTGCCCCTTTGCTACCACCCCTTATGAAAACTGATAACACGTTTAGGAAAGGGCACCTTTAGACAACCCATAGTCAGCTGGCATGGAGGATGCTAGGAGCCAGTTGGTTGACCTTTCTTTCCAGGCAGCACAGGGAATCTTTCATTTCCCAAGAGTGATCAGCACCCAACCAGGCAGAACTTATTTGGATGCCAGGAGGAATTATTATTTACTGTCCTATTCTCTACCAGTTGTACCTTGGTTTTCATAAGAGTGACTAGGAAATCTTGGTAGTTCGATCCTTCTGTGTGCTCTGCTAACAGAGTCTCAGCCGTTCCATCTCTTTACAGTAGGCATTTACTTTTCATTGTTAAAAGAGGAAGGAATATAAACAAAGGAGTCAGGTTGAAGATAGATTCTTTCAAGTGATTTTTCCCCCCTGGATCCTGTTTAGGCAACTGATTGTAAAGACTGCTGTTCACATCTTCCCCTAATGTTACATGGAATCGTGGTTTGGGTTTACAGACACCATCATTAATGTCAATAAATTCCATCCGAATCGCTGATAGATACTTTAAACACTACGCTTGGAAACCTTTATGTGCGGAAGCTTATTCTTCGGCTCCAACATGAGTTATGCATCTGACTTGTAGTCTCTTGTAAAGATGGGTGCTGATGGCAGCTAGTGCCTCAAGAGGGGGGTTGTGGAACAATCAGTGCTAGAGAGGCCTCCATCCCCACCCTCTTATTTCACAACTATTCTTAGCTGTAGCCCTGGTATGGGAAACGGCTTCCTTATGATTATGCCTGGCTCACTGGTGGCACAGCTGAATCGAGACTATCTCAAGAGGTGACTTTAAAAATGGATTGACGCCAAAGCCGGTTTGACTCAGTGGATAGAGTGTCGGTCTGCGGACTGAAAGGTCCCGGGTTCGATTCCGGTCAAGGGCATGTACATTGGTTGTGGGCACATCCCCAGTAGGGGGTGTGCAGAAGGCAGCTGATCGATGTTTCTCTCTCATCGATGTTTCTAACTCTCCCTTTCTCTCTGTAAAAGATCAATAAAATATATTTTAAAAAAATAAATAAAATAAATAAATAAAAATGGATTGACTTGTATGCATGCATCTAAGCCTAATCAATGGATACAGACAACTAACTAGGGGTAAGGGCATGAATTGGGGGGTGGAGGGTAATGGGAGAATAAGGACACATATGTAATACCACAATCAATAAAGAAATTTTAACAAATGGATTGAAGATGACTAGGTGGTCTGCACATCACAGCCTGATACTTCACCTCTCTTCTGCACTCGGGCAGTACCAAGCCTCTGCTTGTCTTTTCAGGCACCCCCGTTTTAAATCCAGTAAGAAGATGGAGTTCAGAGATGATGGGGTGACAGAGGCAGAGCTGGGCCCATCGGTATCACTGAGATGCTCAGGAGTCCTGAGACTGGCCCAGAGTGCCCCTCCAGGAATCACCCCTGAGGCTCGGAGGGAACAGTGCTGCCCAGAGGAGAGGAGGAGGAGGGGCCTGAGGCTCTGAAGCTCGGTCTTGTGACCCGGCGCCAGGGGAGTCTGCCCAGCCCATTACATGGGGTCACAAGGCCTCCAAGGTCCAGTTTTACAAAAGCTGGTTCTCTTTCCTGTCAGCAGTATCTCCCGTTGTCTTTTGGGCACTTCTGGGTATGATGGCCTTGATTCTGACTTGGGAGCCATGCAAGTAATAGCCTGATCTCAGTCATTTCTAGCCCCCTTGAAAACTAACCGAAAAGGCTGCAAACTCCCCTACCAGAGTGGATTTAAACATTTTGAAGATAGTGGAAAAATCTATTCTTAAATAAAAGCATAATTATGACTATGCCACAGAAAAATTAGAGTGTTTTTGGGTCCTGCCTGTCCTCTCGTTAAAAAAAAAAAAATCTCAGTAGGTTGCTAGGCACTGCCTAGTAGCCAAAGAAATTGTGGTTTTGAACTATTCACTATTTCTAGAAACGTCATAAAGTTAATTCCAAAGTAGCAGGGTGGAGACCGAGAAAGGAAGAACACTATTTTATGGTGCTCTTAGGGCAGTTTAGCATCGGCCTCGGAGCCGTGCTCCGCCCCAGCTCCGGAGGCTGGCGGGGCATGGCCAGCTGCTGGCGGAGGACATGAGCTCTGCAGGGGACCACGATGGCACACATTTACTTTCTCATCCCAGCTGTACTGCTTTCTCCTTCGTTTAAGCTGAAAAATACTTCCTGAGCTCCTCATGTACATGCAAACCACTGTGTCAAGTACTGTCCCTTCGTTTTTAACTGATTTTCATCATAACTCACTCAGTTCTGATATTCACAATCTTCTGAGTGAATTTAAATCTTCATTCAATGGCCTTCACTCTCAATTATGTAGCAGTTCATCTTTATCATTTTAGTCTTTATTATTTCATATAATATATATATATGTATATAATATATATATTTAATTTTATTGATTATGGTATCACATAATTGTCCTCATCCCCCCATTCCCATTCCAAACCCCTCCCCACATATGCCCCCACCCCCCTGTTGTCCATGGCCACTGGCTAGGCCCATATGCATGCACACAAGTCCTTTGGTTGATCTCTCCTTCTTACCCCCACCTCCCCTACTTTCCCCTCTGAGGTTTGAGAGTCTGATTGCTGCTTCTCTTTCTCTGGGTCTGTTTTTGTTCATCAGTTTATGTTGTTCATTATTTCCTTTAGTTGTGTGAGATCATGTGATCCAAGAAGTACCCTTATAAAAACTGAAACTGAGACAAGCCATAATGATTATGCTGAGAGGCAAATGAATCAGTCTGTAGTGAGTTCCTTTTTGGGCCAACAGTTCTTTTGAGTCCCAATTTCTTTTTTTCTTTTTTTAAAATATTTTATTGATTTTTTTTACAGAGAGGAAGAGAGAAGGATAGAGAGTTAGAAGCATCGATGAGAGAGAAACATCGACCAGTTGCCTCCTGCACACCCCTCACTGGGGATGTGCCTGCAACCAATGTATATGCTAGGGGTGTCGAACTCAATCAGAGAAGGGGCCAAAATCTAAAATCCAGCCTAAATCGCGGGCCGAATGGTTTACTGAACAGTCATAAACTGTCATTGTGATGGAAATGCAGCGGAGTGCAGTGATGACAGCGCGTTGCGGGCCACATTGCAAGGCCTGGCGGGACGGATTTGGCCCGTGGGCCTTGTGTTTGACACATGTGGTATATGCCCTTGACTAGAATCGAACCTGGGACCTTTCAGTTCATAGACCGATGCTCTGTCCACTGAGCCAAACCAGTTTTGGCAATTGAGTCCCAATTTCAGTGTCAAACAGTTCCTTATGTGTACATGTCAGCCATGATATTTCAGATCTGGTTGGTGGACAAATGGTGGTGATGCAGGTCCGACCGTCTCTGGTTTGGTCCTAGGCATCCTTCAGCAACATGCAGCTGCTGTCTGCTGGTATGGCGAGGCTATTATTTCTACTCTAAAAAACATTCTTTTTATTCATGTGTTAAAACTTATGAACCTGATCTTGGTTTCTTGGTTGGAAAAAACAACAACTCTGAAAGAGCATGGAGCTCTCCTCCCATTCTTTACTCCAAGGAGCAGGTGGGCAGTTATACGGGTAATTCGCTTCGGCAGCACATATACTAAAATTGGAACGATACAGAGAAGATTAGCAGAATGGGTTTATATCTGATTTGGGCCTTATTACATAGCATTTTCCTATAGTATAACTACTACCTAATGGTATTTTGTAAAGATTAATATGTACTACCTCATGACATGTCCTAAAAGAAGTTGGATATAGAAAATCTATGGCTACAGAAAACCCATGTTGTGTTTAAATCAGACAAACCTGGATCCTGGTCATAAACCTGCTGCTAACTAGTGTGTGACCTCTCCTCTAGTCGCCTTACCCCTTCCTGTCTCTGAAGACTCCACTAGTTCTGACCTCCATAGATCTTTGCATAATTACTTATGGATATTTGGAAATGACCAGACAATGATGGGTTTTCTTTTCTCTACAGAGTGAAGGCTGCCCAGACTGAGTTAGGACAGCAAATCCTGGCTGATTTTGAAGAAGCGTTTCCCTCCCAGGGTTCCAAGGTATAGTTTCGCATGTTCTTTCCAATCTTTAATATTACCACTGTCCTTACCCAACTCACACTCACTACGGTACTGTTCCCAGGTATCATTCCAAAAGTGTTCGCTGGCAGCCATCAGTCCGTTTGCCAGACGTCCGGGATAATGAGACCATTCTTGACTTCAAATATCCCCAAGCGATGTTGATCCCTCACTTACGTTCTTTCAGTGTCAGAATGTGAGGTGTGAGGATGTGTTTTGGTTTAATTTAATGTGTGTCAAACCTAATATCTTGTGTGCCCGGTAAATTCCTTTATTCTCATGTGTGTGTTTTGTGTTTTGTTTTGTTTTAAATCTTCAAGCCGCAGCGTTCTTTTAGGATTGTTATATAACTTACTGGTTTCAGTTTGGTGAAAAGACAACTGGGAGGGCAGTGCACAAGCTTATGTAACGGAGTGACACAGTTCGGAGGCTCGTTTTTAACCATCAGGATCCTGTTCTTTGGCATGAATCCCTTTCGTTCTCGCTGGTGGCAGAGCTGTTTGTGCTGTGTCTGGGCGGCCCACAGTGTTTCGCTTGTGAGCTGTTGGTTACACTTCTCACGTAACAAGCTTTGCCTCCCTTGGCTGGCATTATGCTTGGTGAACTGCCCTTAGCTCTACCTTTAAACTGTAGCAGACATAATCTTAATGCTTTGCATGTGTCAGGGAGGGAAGAGCATTCAGAAGCTTTTATTCCTCTATTATTTGGGCTATTTCAAGAGAGAGAATTGTTCAATGCAGAGATGAGCCAAAGTACACCCGGGCGGGCAGCATTCCTCACTGCCCGTGGTGGGCGGAGGTGGTGGGTATATTTTTATTTACGGAGCCAAGGAACGTTTTCGGAATCTGTGTTATAATTCAATAACTGGAAATATATTAATCATTTTTGTGTGTGCTCCATAAAAGAAACTTAAGAAGTAGGTGCGGGTAGCTGCCCCCGCTTTGTAGATTACTTTTTTCTATAGGAAACCTGTTCTGACTTTAAAGTCTGTCCATAGTGTGCCTGTCTTTTGGTAATCACACACTTTATTTGTAAAGCTTGTCCTTTGAAGACTGTGTGTCCCTTATTCATTTGACGTAAGTCTGGGGGAGGTGATGTTGGAAAGCCTTTCTGTGAATAGAGATTGTAAGGTACTCACAGGTGATCAGCACTAGACTCTCGTTAGTGTCGGATCTGCTGTTCATCCGTTTCAGGAAGTTCCAGAAAGATGTGGATGAAGCCCAGCTTGTTACTTAGAAGAAAGTAACTGTGACCTACGGCACCTCTTTATCCCAGATCCCACCAGGCAGATGAAGTTAAAATGGTTTTCTTTAACAACTCGCTTCCCTTTTCTCTGGTAACAGTGGGTTTTGTTTTGTTTTTAGTTTTCTTTTGTCTTTTTTAATGGTTGTTGACTTTTCTTAAAGACCTTGTGCTTTTACTTCTATTTCAGAAATAGAACTCACGATATATATATTTTTTTAATTATTTAAAGTAACCTATGAAGTTCTTTTGAAATGAAAAAATCTGAACCCATGAGCTCAGGGTTCGGCTTCCGTGATTTCTCTATTAGATCAAACACTTACCCACAGCAGGAGTTGAGCAGAGGATGACATATCAGCCCCTCAGTGGGGGGCTAGTCAGCATTTTAACAGCTGAGCTCTGAGGCGGCTCCGGTAACCCTTATGAAACATAAATTTCAGCGCAGGTGGGTAAATTGGACAGAACTGACAAAAATAAAACAAAACACAAAGATTTGGAAGGACCTCACTCATTCAGGTAGTTAAAGTCCATTATTTTTCAGATGAGGTTCAGTAACTGTGCCAAAGCTGCGTGGCTACTTAGCCAAGCCACGAGTAGATTCCAGGTGTTCTTTTTACTGTGGTCCACTCAGCTGGCCAGGCTCATGCAGTGAGGTGCCATAAAGAAAGGTTCATCGAGCCGAAACCGGTTTGGCTCAGTGGTAGAGCATCGGTCTGCGGACTGAAAGGTCCCAGGTTAGATTCCGGTCAGGGGCATGTACGTTGGTCGCGGGCACATCCCTGGTGGGGTGTGTGCAAGAGGCAGCTGGTCAATGTTTCTCTCTCATCGACGTTTCTAGCTCTCTATCTCTCTCCCTTCCTCTCTGTAAAAAATCAATAAAATATATTAAAAAAGAAAGGTTCATCGAGATTGAATTGACCTTCAGAGGTAACGACAAAGACCTTCCCAAATGACAGAGGTCTTCGATTGTGGTGTATAGATACAGCCCCTCATACCCTTCAACTTTCTTTTTAGGTCAAAGGGCTGACAGCATAATATTTTACCTTAGCTACATGTCTGAGGGGTTGAGGATCTGTAAAACAAATCTGATGAAACTTGCTTTTAGGTTTAAATGCCACCGTGGTGTTTGGTACAAATGTAGCATCTTAAGAATAGGAATCTTACCTCTCTCCATGTCATAGCTGAAGCAAGGAAACATTTTTCTGGAGGCCATTTAACTCTTGAAGATTCTTTTCGTGAAAGAATAAGAGAAAATATGTCACTCTTGTTGTTGTTGTTTTTGTTTTGTTTTTCAGAATAACCAAAGTACTGCTCTCTAATGAAAGATTACTTCATGGCATTCCCTTCCTACCCCCCTAAAATAAAACAGTAATTAAATGTAATATTTGAAAGTAATAAGTTTACTTACATTACAATAATAATTTTGTTGCACGTGTATCATAGTTCTGAGACACAGTCCAAAAAAGAATAGCATTCTGAGGATGGAAGCAGGGAAAGTGGCGCAGGTGGTGTGAGCCTGGGGTCATCTGCCTCCTGGGCTCTCCCACAGGGCGATTGCAGTGTCGGTGTTGGGAAAACAAAGTTTCCTGTGATCATTACAGGCCACGGTTTTCAGAATGTCTCACTGCTGATTGACAGAGTAGCTCCCGTATTGGCTACTGCACTCTAGCTTAATGATTCTCTCATCCAGGAACAGGCAGCGAACATAGCCATCCGCAGCAGAGGAGTGAGTGTCAGGGCAGTGGGAGCAGTAATAACTGCGAGAGAGGAGCGGGGGCAGAGCTGTCAGAGGCCAGGGGAGTCAAAGGTAGTCTCTGGCTTCTGAACTGGTGTGTGTTTGCTTTAACAGAGGCCAGGAGGACCCAGCAATGTCCTACGAGATGCGTGTCTGATTGCTAATATTTTGGACCCCCGAATCAAGCAGGAAATCATTAAAAAGTTTATTAAACAGCATCTGTCAGAGTACCTAGTCCTTTTTCAAGAAAACCAAGATGTAAGTATTGACCAAATGAGATCAGATGTGACTTGTTGAATTGTATTGAAAATTGAGTGTTCTCAAGCCTCCCGATTTATACTTTATTATTATTATTACTGTCTTAAAAAGTTGATTGTTGAACCGTGAATGCTAGTGGCTAACTGTATAGTTCAGTGTTTCTTAACGGTTTTGCGGTCACTGACCCTTTGCAGAAATTAATGAATGCTACAGATCTCTGCAGCAAAAGGCACTTCTGCCTAAAACTCTGCATACAGTTTCAGAAAATTTATAGACCTCTGAAGCCTATTCATGGACCCCCGGGTAAAAATCTCTGGATCAAATAAAAACGTAGCCTAGATCTTTGAAACCATGAAAAGTAGAGAGTTTGGCTGTGTTTTTGCTTTCCTTAAACTGTCAGTGCTACTAATACTGGGGTGGACTTTGCTCCCTCATTTTCTAAGGTTGCCTGGCTGGACAAAATCGACAGACGCTATGCCTGGATCAAACGCCAGCTTGTGGACTATGAGGAGAAATTCGGCCGAATGTTTCCACGTGAGTGGTACATGACCGAGAGGATTGCAGTAGAATTTTGCCACGTCACAAGGTAGATTTCAACTCTGCTGGTTTGGGTGTTAATTGAAATCCTGTCTTTAGTGGATCCATGTTGTCTTGTGGATTGGAATCACTTCCTGATCCCACCAAATGACTGATGGCACCCTCATATCCAATTATCGCCCCACTACCCACTTCAGTGATGTAGTAAACCATCAGGAAACATTTGTTGAACAAATTTCCCACTCTATAATATTTATAATCGTTGGGTAGTTAATAAAATTGGCATCTGAGTGTTCTAAGCATTTTAAAGACCTGTCTTCTGTGTCCATGAGTGTAACCCAAGGCCACATAGTCCTTCATATGCAAGAAGGATTTATCAGTATATCTTATGACAAAGCTAAAGCTAGAGTCAAAATATTTTATTTTTTACTTGCAACTCTACCATAGCAGTGGTGGTAACTGGATTTTATTATATATTTCTTTTCTTTTTTTTTAATACATTTTTAAAAATATATATTTTATTGATTTTGTACAGAGAGGAAGAGAGAGAAATAGAGAGTTAGAAACATTGATGAGAGAGAGTCATCGATCATCTGTCTCTTGCACACCCCCTACCAAGGATATGCCCGCAACCAAGGTACATGCCCTTGACTGGAATCGAACTCGGGTCCCTTCAGTCCCCAAGCTGACGCTCTATCCATTGAGCCAAACCAGTTTCGGCTTTTAATACATATTTTTTTATTGATTTTTCTACAGAGAGGAAAAGAGAGAGATAGTTAGAAACATCAGTGAGAGAGAGACATCAACCAGCTGCCTCTTGCACACCTCCTACTGGGGATGTGCCCACAACCAAGGTATATGCTCTTTGACCAGAATCGAACCTGGGACCTTTTAGTCCACAGGCCAGTGCTCAATCCAGAGCCAAACCGGTTTTGGCTATATTTCTTTTTAATAGTTCACAATTACATTAACTTCAGGTTAATAAAAAAATTTCATATCTAACCATAACTCAGCCATCTTAGAGTAATTCATTATAGTCACTTGTCTTAAAATCACAGAGACTATAATCAAGTTGCAAGCTTTAAGCACACTGTGGTGTGGAATATGTTTTAAGGAAAACTGGCTGTTGATTTTGTGGTTTGGGTTTTTTAATAGAATTTCTTCTTTATAACAATTTTAGATTCACAGCAATAGTGACAGGAAGATACAGAGATTTCCCATATACCCTTGCCCCACACATATATTGCTCCCTCATTATCAACATTCCCTCACCAGAGTGATGCACTTGTTGCAAGCAGTGAGCTTACATTGACACATTATTATCAGCCAGACTCCATAGTTTACTTTTTTTTTTCTTTTTTTTTTTTAAATATATTTTATTGATTTTTATACAGAGAGAAAGGGAGAGAGATAGAGAGTTAGAAACATCAATGAGAGAGAGTCATCGATCAGCTGCCTCCTGCACACCCCCCACTGGGGATATGCCCGCAACCAAGGTACATGCCCTTGACCGGAATCGAACCCGGGACCCTTCAGTCCCCAAGCCGACGCTCTATCCATTGAGCCAAACCGGTCCCGGCCATAGTTTACTTTAGGGTTTACTCTGTGTTGTACATTCTTTGTGGCTGTTGTTTTAAGAAACACATCCTATCTAATAAAAGAGTAATATGCAAATTAACCATCACTCCATCACAAAGATGGAGGAGCCCATAGCCACAAGATGGCGGCGCCCAGTCCCCTCAGCCTCACTGGAGTCCCCCAGTCCTGCCACTGAGAGCGGGCAGTGTGAGCGGCCTGGCAGAATGCTTGCTTTGTCATCACAGCAACAGAGGGCTTCTGGGGTGTGGAGCGGCCGGGGCTGAACGTTTGCTTCGTCGCCCCAGCCAGCCGCGGAGGGCCTCTGGGGGACAAGGGAGCCAGCCCACTTCTCGTGGAAGCAGCTTGGCTCCCTGTGGCGTGCTGCAGTTCCCGCTGGCTCCCTCGGAAGTGGCAGGTGGCCTACTGCACACGATATCACGCAATGGGCTACTATCGGGTCTAGTAATAATTAATGTCGTTTTTAAACATTCGTTTAAAATCTTGCTTGGCGTTGACTTGTATTGACATAACCTTCAAACATGTGGTATCTACAGAACGTGTGAAGTGCAATTAACAAGTTTTGCTTGAAAAAGTTTGTGTTTGGTTTGGTTGTTGTTGCAAAACTAGGGCTAAGAAGATGGCAGATGAAGAGCATATTCGGCACTGCATGCTTTACGAGTTCCAATTAGGAAGAAAAGCAAGTGAGGCTGCAAAAAACATCTGTAGTGCTCTTGGTCAAGATGCAGTTAGCGCCAGAAAATGCCAGCGTTGGTTTGAGAAATTTCGCGAGGGAAATTTTTCATTAGATGACAAGAATGGTCGAGGCCGTGTGTCCAATTTTGATCAAGAAGCTCTTCAAGCTCTTTTGGTGCAAAATCCTCAAATTACCCAACAAGAGCTTGCGACAACTTTAAATTGTTCACAAAAAAACAATTTCCAATCAATTGCGTGCACTTGGCAAAGTCCAAAAGTTTGGAAAATGGGTTCCTCATGAGTTGACCGACAACAACCGTAATCAAAGAGTCACAATTTGCAGTTGGCTCCTCTCTCGTCAAAACCGTTTGCCGTTTTAGAGCAAATTGTTACCGGAGATGAAAAATGGGTGTTGTATGTTAATTTGAAAAGGCGGCCTCAATGGCTGGACAAAAATGAGGCTCCGCAGCCCACGCCAAAACCTGACTTGCATGCGAAAAAAGTGATGTTGTGTGTTTGGTGGAATTTTAAAGGAATTCTTCATTATGAACTTTTACCATCTACCCAAACCATTACAAGTGCAGTGTATAGTGCCCAATTGGATAGGTTAGCCCAAGCTTTAAGAGAAAAAGAACCCGCGCTGATTAATCGGAAGGGCGTAATTCTTCACCACGATAACGCACGACCGCATACTGCAAGAATCACTGCTGAAAAACTGCGCCAGTTGGAATGGGAAGTTCTCCCTCAACCTGCATATTCTCCTGATATTGCCCCTTTCGATTACCATTTGTTTTGTTCTTTGCAAAACTTTCTTCTTGGAAAAAAATTTAATAATGAAGAATGCCTCAAAAATGCATTGACCGAATTTTTTGCATCAAAATCACAAGAATTTTACAACAGAGGGATTAAAATGCTTCCTGAGCGTTGGGCACAAGTAGTAGAAAACAACGGCAACTATATTGTTGATTAAATTTTGTTGTATTGTTTAAATAAATTCGATTTTAAAAAGTATTAGAAAACGACATTAATTATTACTAGACCTAATAGTTTGCTATAATAGATTTCGATAACCTTTTAGTATTGATTCAAGGTCAGTTGTGGTTGTCACTTCCTAAATCCTGATTAGCAAAGAAAGATGCATTCCTCGAGAAACTGGTAAGTAATTCTCTTTAGCCTACAGTTCAGTGACTTGCAAGCTAACTCTGAAAAATGAAGTCTGCAGGAGACTGGAAGTATATACTACACCAAACCTGCTATTGTGTCAGCTATTGGCAGTGTTTCTATTAAGCTTTCACTGTTTCAAAACCTACAGATATATAATTCTCAGATAAACCTTGTTTGATTTTATCATTCATTTGTGGGGGGTGATGATCATAGCTCAGTTCAAAATTCTTATGTCACTGCTCCTGGCCAATTTATATTCTGAAACAGAGCACATGAGAGGCACACAGACAGGCAGGAGCAACCTAAACACATACATGTCTCTTTTCACATGGAAAGTCTGGTCTCACCTGTGTTTCCAGGGTTCTTGCTCTCTGTTCAAGGAGAAGGTTATTTCTTTGAAGACAGAGGGCTTTGTAATTCAGTGGTTAATGACTTGTGAAATACATAGAAAATATGCATTTTTATAAAATACTGTTTCATATATATAATTAACAAAGTATTGAAAGGTTTAAATATTTAAAAAATACCAATAACAATTTAAACAAATTGGTATCCATAATCCTTGATTTTTTGTTATTTTTTTGACTGGTGGATAATTTTACCTTAAAATTCTTATTTAGAACTGGAGGCCCGGTGCACAAAATTCATGCATGGGTAGAGTCCTTAGGCCTGACCAGCAATCAGAACCGATTGGGGCCTTCCCGCTGCCGGTTGGGGCCTCCTTTCCCCTGCTCCTGGCTGGGGCCTTCCTTTGTTCCACGTAGTCCCCTGTTTGTCAGCGCACATCAGAGTGAGCGATGGACTCCCTGTCTCCAATTGAACTCCCTAGGGGACACTTTGCATATTAGCCTTTTATGTAGATAGATAAATATCTATTTCCCAGGAATCAAAATGAGTTGGTAACAGATCTCAGGATTTAAAATGACCACATACTTTAACAAATACATATATAAGCTAAAACCATTTTCTTTGTGTCCTGGATGGATAGCTCAGCTGGTTAGGGGATTGTCCCCAAACTCCAAGGTTATGTGTTCTATCCCCAGTCAGGGCACATACAGGAAGCAACCAATGAATTTATAAATAAGTGGAAAAACAAATCAATCTCTCTCTCTCTCCCAAATAAATAAATTTTTTTAATTAAAAAAACATTGAAAAAAATATTTACTTTGTCTTATCTTGAATGATCCATTTGTTTGACAATATTCTTATCTCTTTATTTTGAAGGACAGAACTTGCCAAGATTATGCGGACCAGAGCTAAGGAAATTGAAGTGAAATTGCTTCTTTTTGCTATTCAGAGAACAACTAACTTTGAGGGATTCCTTGCAAAACGCTTCTCTGGCTGCACTCTGACAGATGGTGCTCTGGTGAGAGCTCGCTGAGGGAGGTTGGGGCGGGAAACCCCTGGGTTGGGTAGCTGGGCTTTATTCTAGTCTTTCATGGTAGGGTGCTTTGTTTGTCTCTTACGCAGTGATCCATGTTTTTATTTTATTTTATCTTATCTTACTTTATTTTATTTTAAAAAAATCTTTATTGCTGAAAGTATTACATATGTTCCCCTTTCCCCCCATTGACCCCTTATAGCCCACCCCTGCTCCCCACCCCAGGCCTCCACCACTCTGTTATCTGTGTCCATGGGTTATGCATATATACATACAAGTTCTTTGGTTGATCTCTCCTACCCACCCACCTACCCCTGCCTTCCTCTGAGATTTGACAATTGTAAAATATGTCTGTCTTTTTTTTTTTATGGAATCTGCCTTAAAATATATATTTTTTATTGGTTTGAGAGAGAGGAGATGGGAAAGGATAGAGAGAGAAAAACATCAATGAGAGAGACACATCCATCAGCTGCTTCCTGCATGCCTCCACTAGGGATCCAGCCTGCAACTGGGCATGTGCCCTGACTAAAAATTGAACTGGGAGTAGTCCATGTTTTTAGAATGGCCTATCATTTTTTTCTAAGCATTAGAGGCCCAGTGCACGAAATTTGTGCATGCAGGAAGGGGGGTGTCCCTCAACCCAGCCTGCACCCTCTCCAATTTGGGACCCCTCAAGGGATGCCCAACTGACCCTATCTCGGTGGGGTTGGGCCTAAAACAGGCAATTGGGCATCCCTCTCACAATCCAGGACTGCTAGCTCCCAACTCTCTTGCCTGCCTTCCTGATTGCCCCTAACAGTTTCTGCCTGCCAGCCTGATCACCCCTAACCACTCCCCTGCCAGCCTGATTGATGCCTAACTGCTCCCCTAACTGCCCTCCCCTACAAGCCTGGTCCCCCCAACTGCCCTCCCCTGCAGGCCCAGTCGCCCCCCCAACTTCCCTACTCTGATGGCCTGGTCATCCCTAACTGCCCTCCCCTGCAGGCTTGATTGCCCCCAACTGCCCTACCCTGCTGGTCATCTTGTGCAGCCATCTTGTGTCTACGTGGGGGCAGCCATCTTGTGTGTTGGAGTGATGGTCAATTGGCATATTACTCTTTTATTAGATGGGATAGAGGCCTGGTGCACGGGTGGGGGCCGGTTGGTTTGCCCTGAAGGGTGTTCCGGATCAGGGTGGGGGTTTCCTTGGGGCATGGGGCAGCCTGGGCAAGGGGCCTGTGGTGGTTTGCAGGCTGGCTACGCCCGCGCCCCCCCTCCCCCCCCCCCCGCGACCCAAGTGGAGGCCGTGGTATCTGGGATTTATTTATCTTCTATAATTGAAACTTTGTAGCCTTGAGCGGAGGCCAGGGCTAGCCAGGGTGAGTGAGAAGCTTGGCTTCCTCCTGCTTGCTCCAGCTCCATGGCTGCCGCCATCTTGGTTGGGTTAATTTGCATACTTGTTCCTGATTGGCTGGTGGAATGGCTTGTGGGTGTAGTGGAGGTACAGTCAATTTGCATGTTTCTCCTTTATTAGATAGGATAGGATGGGCCCCATTTTACAGACTCACAATTTTGTGAGTCACAGAGACCTCACTTAATTAGTCACAAATACCTTATTACTTTATTAACTATTGAATTTTATTATAATTAGCACATGTTTTTACTACAGGGTTTGGCTTCTTAATGTCTCTGGTGAGCAAACCAGGTCAAGGTGTCTCTATAAACTTCAAAGCCATGTGTACAGACTTACATGTCAGAGAGATTCCAAAAAGTGAAACACAAAGGACACTGGTCAGAGGACTGTCCTCCCCTGGAAAGCTGGACTGTGGTGGTTCAATCACTTACTCTCCATGTAAGCAAAGACTAGGCCCAAAGTGACTCTCTGAAAACCTCTTTTTTGGAAACCAGGATCCCTGCTAACACAGGGAATATACTTCCTTCAGATTTCCCATCCATGGGAAATTAGTATGTTTTATGGTAGTTTCTGTTTACAACATACACACACAGACTTGAGCTCCCTGAGTACAGGAATCATGGCTGACGCATCTCTGATTCCTAGTCATGCAAAGAGCAACAGACCTTGTGCAGGCAGACAAGAAGGAGGAGGGAGGGAGGGAAGAAGAAATCAAAGTTGAGAGTTATAGCTCTTGAGTTTCCTTTAAAACTGCATTTAAAAAACAACTGCTGGTTACAACAGAGAAGCGATGCGATTGGGTAGGAAAATCCTTGAATCAGCAACCAAGAGAGACGTGTGGTCCAGTTTTGACTCTGCTGTAACTCAGTGTACTGCCTTCTCAGTTAACTGAAAAGAATAGTCTCTCCTTTAATAACAGAGTACTAGAGGGACTAAACAAGACATAAAACCCAGAAGCCATAAAGAAAAGGACTGAAACATTTGACAACATAAAGAGAGAAATTCTGTGTGGAAAAAGAGACCACAAACATAATTAAGGGACGTACCACAAAGTAGGGAAAAAAAGTTTAAGCTACATAAGACAAATGATTAACATCCAGCATATAAGTCGATATGAAAAAGATAACTCAAGAAAAATGAGTATAGAGTAAGCAGAAAATTCATTGAAGAAATAATAGTTGGCTAATAAATATGTGAAAAAAATACAAGAAGATACTAATTTCTATACATCAGGTTGGCAAAAACTATTATAAAAATAACAAGACTGTTTTTTAGTACTAGTATACAAATTGATGCAGTCTTTTTGGAGAGCAGATTTTCATTATCAAAAAATTTAATTAAATGTGCATGTCCAGTCGGTGTGGGTCAGTGGTTGAGCATTGACCTATGAACCAGGAGATCATGGTTCGAGTCCCAATCAAGGCATATGCCCGGGTTGTAGTCTCAATCCCCAGTGTGGGGTGTGCAGGAGGCAGCTGATCAATGATTCATCACTGATATTTTCTCTCTCCCTCTCCCTTCCTCTAAAAAAAAAAAAAATTTAAATGTGCATGCACTATGAGGCAACAATTTCACATCTAGCTGTGAAGTCTACAAAGAAAAATCCATACCAAGGAAGAGGTGAATTGCAGCCTTAAAAGCAAAAAAAGGAGGTTTCTGTAATGTCCAGTCTTAAAGAATGGTTAAATAGAGAATGGCTCTCCTCGCTGCCCTGTCCGGCCGGTGCAGTAGCTAACACACAGCAGTTAGTGGTAGAATGGGAGGTAGATCTGCTATCACAGGAAAAAAAGACACTTCTCAGACATGGCTAAATGAAAAATGTAAGCTTGCAGGCCAATACATATGGTATAATTCCATTTATGTAAAAGGCAAAACATGTTTATGTATGTAAGGTTGTAAGAAAAAGGTCTGGAAATGATAGCAGTGGATGTCTCTGGGGAAGGAAGTTGGAGTGAGAGTAGGTAGAGAAGCAAAGAAATTCTTTTTTTCGTTCTACTCTGGTATTTTGCTTGAAATTTTCTTATACAAATGCATTTATATATTTTTTAAAACATATTTTTTGCATTTACATACTTTAACAAAAGTATGTTATTTTTCAGTTTTTTTAAATGAGGGAAGTGGTCCAAAACAGACTTCCAAACTTTTTTCTCTAACAGACTCTAATGTGAAATTCACACAGAATGATAGCTAACTTATTTTGAACATTCACTGTGTCCCACACTGTTCTAGGTGTATTTTCCTAAAATCACTCACTTTATTTCAACTATAAGAGATAGGTGCTATATTCATTGGAACTTACCTGAGGCCACATAGCTTATATATAAATATAGGAAAACTGAGCTACTGTAATTGAAGGAGGAGAGTAAGAACAGAGATTGGGCCTAGAGTCCATTCACTTGTTTACCCCTCTACTATCTTCCGTAGTCCCCACCCTTCCAATCCTAAAATTCTGGGATTTCAATGGGATCCTGTCTGTCCCCCCCTCTCCCAACTCCCAAGACCTGCCTTAGAGTGGGCGCATCAGGAGTTAGTCCCTCCAGGCACTAGGCTTAAAGAGTAGAGGCAGCAGCTCTCAGTTTTAAGGCAAGACCATAAGATTCTACCTATTCAGTGCCGCTTATGACTTTATTAAAATAAGATCCAGCTGAACCACAAGGCACTTTCTGTACTTAAAAATAGAAATATGTGTGTAATATACACATACTGTATATATACACACTTCTCTGTCAACTCACATTCAAAATGGATTTCTACTTATTTTATTTATTTTTAAAATCTTCATTGTTGAAAGTATTACAGATGCTCCCCTTTTTCTTCCATTGACTCCTTATAGCCCACCCTGTCCCAGGCAATTGTAGTATCGTGGGGAAAAATGGGCCACAACGCCCATGAAAATGCCCTTAAAGACAGTGCAAGTCACAGAAGGAAGTGGGCACCAGCAATGACATTGAAAGAAACCTGTCTCTCTCCCACGAAGTAGGTGGTTGACTTCAACCCCACCTTGGCTCTCCTTTCCGCCCTAGCCAAGCCATGCTTCTGGCCTGGTTTCAAGCAGAAACTCATGCAACTCTGGGTTCAGCCCTACAGAGATGTGTTTGGTGGCAAAGAAGCTTAAGCACTGGGCACAGGTCCCAGCTGGGAGTGTCCCCTAAGGTCCTATGTTCCAGATGGACAGGGTTGGTAGAGCATAAGGTAATTTAGCTAACTGTATGGGAAATGGGTCCCAACAAAGGATGCTTAAAAAACATTTGAGCCAGATACCTGTTTTCAGCTATTCTTCCCCTTCTCTGACTAGATTAGTTTATGGTGATTTTGCTTTTACGTTTAGGGAGCTACAGGGTTACAGAGGAACAAGTGGCCCTGTTGTATCAGATGACCAGGATAACCTGTAAGCTTGGGGTGGTCCCTCGACATTTCAGGCCTCGCTTGTGCTAGGAAATGTTCCAAAGGTCAAAACAGCCAGAGTAATGTGGGCAGAGAAGGCCCCTCTAAACAAGGTGCAGATACGGAACAGAATAAACACACAGAGACCGTGAAAAGCTGGCAGGAGCTGTGTGCAAGTTTGTGGAGACAGTGCTTTTTTGTAGAAAACCAATATAGGGATGTCAAAATGGCAGGCTGACTGTTAACCTACTGAGGGAGGAGAGGGCCTCTCTCCGCATTCACCCACATTCACCCACTCTGCCAGGGCCACGGGCCTGAACTGCAGCCTTCTGTCCTGGCAAATGCTGTGCTCTGGCGTGGGGGCTGGTCAGCTAGGAGCACTTGAATCTTTTTCACTAATTTCTTCCTCTTTGGTCTTCTGTTTTTGAAATTTTCTGGCATAATAGATTTATAAATTCTCCTCTAGTTGTCCAGTTGTTTTCCCTCCTATCAAGTTTGCAGAGTTTTGGGCTACAAATCCTTGGCCAGGAAATCCTGCTCAACTATGAGCTCTTCATTCACCCCTCGGTTGGTTAGAGTCTCCACAGACTTCTCCGAACCATTCAACTTCTTGAAGTCAAACTCTTCCCCTTGATCACCTCCGTTCTAGTTATCATTCTGCATTCCAGGGCCTGACAATGACTGCTCCGTACCCCACAAGGATTTTTCCTTAAAAACTAGTTTCTGGATGAGGATCGGACTTAAGTAGAATTCTACCCTAAAATTTGCTCTTACGAGTACAAATTTTCTTGAACCCAAAAATAATACTTACTGTTATTGTTAACATTTGCTGCCTACTTACACTGTGCTATGAACTGTACTGAGTGTTTTTCTTACATTATCTTATTAAATCATAATGAAGACCCCCAAAAAAAACAAAAACAAAAAAACAACTAGTTTCTAGAAAGGCAACAGAACTCCTGTGGGCTCTTTCTTGGAGAATCGGTTCACCGCAGCCTGCCATGGGAAGAGGTGAAGGTAGTGCTTCTTGCTGTAGGCCATGTTCACTTTGAGCTTGGTCCTGCATCACCTTGCCATGGACCAAGTAGGGGGACACCTTCACCTGTAGCAGAGATCCTGGACAGACAGTGCTGGAAGGAGCCTGGCTTGGGCTGAGCCAGGGGTTCCAAGTGGCCTGACCCCTAGTCTAGCTGTTGGCACCCCTCCTGAAGACCTGCCATTCCTTGTCTCTTTACCTCCTCCCCATGCTGCCTTGCTCCTGGGATATACCAGGATGGGTGGGGTTTTTTGTTTGTTTGTTTGTTTGTTTGTTTGTTGATTTTTGTGTGGAAAACCTTTTTCCACACAAAAATGGCCACCTTTTTATTTCAGGGTATCAGAATAAACTACAAAATGAACCAGAATATATCTCAATACCCTTTAATATGCCCAATTTCATAGAAAGTTAGTGAATTCCTTGGGAAGTTATGGAGGCGTTAAGAAGTCAGCCAAGGAGCCAGTTGACCAGAGATGCTCCCAAGGCCACCCCTCCTCTATCCTTGATTGATTGACAGTAAAACAATGAGGGTGAGTTTGAGGGGTGAGGAGCTCACCTGGAAAGATCTGCCACCAAAGAGCTCCTTCTGAGATGAGTGCTCTTTTTGGACAGATGTGACTTTGACATCTGATAGAAACGCAGACTGAAAAAAATTTAAGGACGGGGCTTTTTTTTGTTGTTCTAGCCCACTGGTCAGCAAACCTTGGCTTACCGCTCCATTGACTAATGAGTTTGCCGACCACTGGACTAGACTAAATGTTACCGTGTAGTTGGGAGCCTGTGAGGATTAGGCAATTGTGGCATATTGTGTGCAAAGAGGTAAAGGGTAGTATATGACAGTGGTCGATAAACTCAGTCAAAAAGCTGTTTGCTGACCACTGTTCTGGCCCTAACAAGTTTTTAACGCCCTGTGCTGTCACTATTACTGAAAGAAGTGAGCTGTCACTGTTTTGCTAATTGCCTCAACTCCTGACCCTTGAGGAGGGATTCAAAATAGTTTGTAATAGTCTTGAAATTAAAAGCAAATGTCTCAGTGTGAATTAACTAGTGACTTGATGATTATTAGGGACTTGATGATAATTAGTGACTTGATGATTAGATTCAAGATAAACACTATATTCAGCCTCCAAAAAAGCAGAGTAGGTCGGATTAAGTTGTTATACTTGGCACACTGAATTTGGAAAAATTTTTAAATGAAATTAAAAATTTCCCACTTAATGCAGCTGCATTTCTCCTTTTCTTTGCCATTGCATAAATTGCCTTTCTAAATAGAATTGTCCTTTGGTTTATAGGGGTCATTGTAATACACATTTACATTTGCCCAGTTTTAAAAAGTATATTATAAATCTAGAAGCTGCAGGTGTAATTTTTGACCATGCTGTTTGAGCATAAGAGTATTTGCAAAAGGTTCCCTACTTATAAAAGCCCACACCGAGTGACTTAGCCTCTCGCTCAGGCTTCCAACACCGAAGGCCTGCGTTCGGGAGCACGTGTGAGAGGAGGGGGCAGGGCTCTGCAGGTCTGCCTTAGAGCAGGGGCTTCTGTCAGAACAAGGAAATAGCGCCCCCCTTACCCAGAGAGCTCCCTTCAGTGTTTCAGACATTTATAAATGCTTCATTTGCTGCTAAAGGAATACATCTTCATGTGAATCACATCCTAATGAGGAATTAACTTCTGTTTGTTTCTGAGAAGAAAGTACCTCATGGTCAAGAGAGTACATTTGGCTTAAACCGGTTTGGCTCATGGATAGAGCATCGGCCTGCAGACTGAAAGGTTCCAGGTTTAATTCCAGTCAAGGGCATGTACTTTGGTGACTGGCACATCCCCAATAGGAGGTGTGCAAGAGGCAGTTGATCGATGGTTCTCTCTTATTGATGTTTCTAACTCTCTATCCCTCTCTGTTTCTCTCTGTAAAAAATCAATAAAAAATATATTTTTTTTTTAAAGAGAGAGAGAGAGAACATTTGGAAATTATAGGCAAGAATGAAAAGGCAGACAAAATGTCATTTCTTTTCCCATCAAACAGATGAGAATTGGGGTGTGTTCATTCTATACGTTTTACACAATTGAAATTCCACTATTTATTTATTTATTTATTTATTTAAATATATTTTATTGATTTTTTACAGAGAGGAAGGGAGAGAGATAGAGAGCTAGAAACGTCGATGAGAGAAACATCGACCAGCTGCCTCTTGCACACCCCCTACCGGGGTTGTGCCCGCAACCAAGGTACATGCCCTTGACCGGAATCAAACCTGGGACCTTTCAGTCCGCAGACCGACGCTGTACCACTGAGCCAAACCGGTTTTGGCTGAAATTCCACTTTTTAAATACATTTTTTCCCTCTGCTTATTTTATTTTTAAAATTGAATACAATTCATATAACAAAATTTCATATAAGTCTCACCATTAAAAATATACAATTCCTTTTTTTATTTTTTAGCATATTCACAAGATTGTGCCACGATTCCAACTATCCAATTCCAGGATATTTTCATTGTCCCAAAAGAACACACCCCACCCCAAGCAATCACTTCCAATTTCCTCCTTCCCCCCAACTCCAGCCAACTACTAATCTATTTTCCGTCCTTATGGGTTTGTCTATTCTAGACTTTTCATATAAAGGGAATCATCATTGTGGTCTCTGTGCCTGGCTTCCTCCAGTTAGCATAGTGTTTTTAAGGTCCATCCATTGTGTAGCACATATCAATGCCTCAGTCTTTTTTTATGGCTGAATAGCATTCTATTATATGGCTATGCATTTTGTTTAGCCATTTGCCAGCTAATGGACATTTGAGTTGTGTCTGTTTGTTGGCTATTATAATGCTGTGAACATTTGTGATTTGTGTACTAACTCTTGTGTGAACATATGTTTTCAGTTCTCTTGGAAATATATCTGAGAGTGGAATTGCTGGGTTACATGGTAACTCTGTGTTTAACTTTTGAGGAACTGCCAAATTGTTTTCCACAGCAGCTGCACCATTTTGCATTCCCACCAATGTAGGAGAGTATTGATTTTTCCACATCCTCGCCAGAATGTGCTGTTTTCTGTTTTGTTTTTAATTACAGTTATCCTCACAGTGTAAAGTAATATCTCATTGTGGTTTTGATTTGCATTTTCTTAACAAGTAATGATGTTGAATATTTTTTTTTTATGTGCTTATTGGCCATTTTAATATATTTTATAGAGAAATGTCTATTTTAAGTTTTTTGCTCATTTTTAAATTGTCTTATTATTGAGTTTTAGGAGTTTTTGAATATATTCTAGATATATTTATGTATTCATGTGCTTTATCATGGCCAGTATATGATTTGCAAATATTTTCTCCCATTCTGTGGGTTGTTTTGTGCATTAATTTCATGCACCGGGCCTCTAATTGCATATAATCCTGCAGTGAACATAAGGATGCATATATCTTTTGGGAATAGTATTTTCTTTTCTTTGGATAGATACCCATAAGTGGAATTGCTGGGTCATATGGTAGTTTTATTTTTTTTTTTATTTTTTTTTTTAGGAAGCTTCTTACTGTTTTCCATAGTGGCTAAAAACTGATGT